CATCTAGAAGGCTTATTCCCATTTTCCTCAATTACTCTTAAATTTGCATAACTCGGGGTACCTATCATAGGACCTACATTTCCTTCCACTACTCGCGTCATTACTCCGTCTCGAAAGTTTTCCCTCAATCAAATGCTATTTCACCATCTATTTGCATATTTGTAGCCCTGGAATATATAATTAGGCCATAAAAACATCAGCTCGACGAGATGTTATTTAGAAGTTTAAGGGTGAAAACTTTGCTTTTCAGTTATTCCTATGTGGGCACAGGATCCTGCTCGCATATATTATTCAAACACCATATCTAAATATATAGCAGAATTATTAAAATACAAGAAAATAGTATGCGGTAATTTTTTTGTAAAAAAAAAAACTATTCAAAATATAAGAAGCTTTCGTGCTCGCTCTTCCTCAAGTTAAACGTTAAACCGGCGTAATATATCGGTAGTTGAGGTCAGGAAGCGGTGGGGAGAGAAGGTACCACTGAGCTAAAACTGACACACTTTATTTGAAAGAAAAACTCGGGTTTCTGGAGCACCGAACATTCGAGTCTTTATTTGTTTTTAAAACCATTTTTATCCGTAACTACCAGTGATGCAAATATTCACTTTGCATATTTCGTGTCCTCTGCCTAGTTATTGATACCTGTAAGTATACAAATAAGTATATCACAATTCTATGTTTGAATTCTCCAGAAACCAACAAATGCACCCTGAGACGATTTATTTAACTACGACTTTTTTTTTTTTAGAAAACTAAAACAGTGTACACTTTTTAAAAAGTCTCTCGTCTTTTTGTGCAATTGTTTTCTTAAAGATTTCAGGAATTACTTTTTGAAATAGAATATCTAGTTATTTCAGGTTATTGTTATAGGTGCCGTGTAATCGGCACGCCCACGTCGTGGTCACCTCACCACAGGCATATATGTAAATAGAGGATGTCGTGTCGAAAGTGCAGAGTGAAAGTACAAAGCTAGGGCTAGAACACGAGGATCTAAGTTGCTGTAATACCATTGACTTGCAGACAAAATGTGTAATCATTTCCTCCGGTTGATTACGTTCGTTCATATTCCCCGAATCTCCTCAGTATATGAGCAATAAGATAGAATGGAAGCAGAGCTATGTCGTCGGTCCTATAGAATGGAGAGAGCCCCGGCGTGCTATAAATCCAACTTCTCGTTATCCCACTGCAGGGATAATGGCCATTGTATGGACGGACTTCCGGCTGGCTTGGACTAATTGCCGGGTCCCCGACACTCTGATTGGTTGGCAGGGGATTGTCTGTCGACACGGTGTTCAGTCTGGTGACGTATATGTTGAGATAGAACGGCGGTTGGAGTACGTGGCGAAACCTGGAGATATGTAACTATGGTTTATACAATCTCTCTCTCTATATATATAAGAGTCAATGTGTGCCCCATACGTTTCCTCAATATTTTATCAACCTGGCTGAATAAATAAATATATTATCTATATTTTTATAAATACTTTACAATTTTATGAAAAAGTTGGTGGTGGTGTCTTGTTCATATGGAAAGGGGGGGGGGGGGGGGGGTGCCATTGCCCCGTTAGTCAGCCACATTTCAGAGTTCCCTGTAGGCCTTCACGGTTACTGTAGCGGCCCGGGTCTCACGACACCATACTTTCGCTCTACAGGACAGTCCCTTACTTTTGCTGCTTCTCCCGCCCGCCACGTAGAGGAGGACTTCTGGGCAGGATGAAAAAATGATATGGTATATAATGATATTCAAAGTTTCAAATGAGGGACGTCATTGGATTTCCCTCTAGGAGAGACTTGGTCAGTTCAGAGATTAGAATGTTGGCTCTTCATTTTCCGCATGGGTCGCTCGCCTCCCAGGTGTCACACGAGGTCGTGCCGCTAATGTTCCCCCAGTTTTTGCGCGACGAGGGGGCGTCATTACGCGGCGCCTTAGCCCCGGCAACTCATCATTTGGTCGGCCGGGCCATGTGGTGGCGCGAGGTCCGGTGCACGACATTCTCACTTTTTATCCTCTCAATTTTTTCCCTCTCTCTACCTATCTACCCTTCTTCTCAAACGCACATTCTTTTCTACCCATCTCTCTTGCAATTTTGTCTTTTTTATATATAACTTTTTCTCATCTGTTTCTTCTCACCAGAGCTGTCTTCACTCCGACATCTCTTTAACCACGATCTGCGTGAATTTTTAAGGCAATTTTATTGACACATCTTTCAATGGTAAATCTTACACATAAAACTAAGAGAAAAGGGAGAAACTACGCACACACGACTATTTACAAATATATACATTCGAGGAGGCTTACCCAACGCCGAAAAGTCTTGGGGCCTTCGTTATCACCCCATTTTGTTAGAGAAAAAGGACTGAATGGACAAGTCCAGTACTTTGCAGAGAGAGTAGAGAGCTTGCTTATTAAGAATGATTTAGTGAAACGTCTCACCGAACACTCGGGTTTAAAGTAGAGATGGCGGGCATCATTAAAGAGTAATAGTAAGAGAGGAAAATCACTTAAATTATGTTCATTGGTTGTTCCTAGTTGGAATCAAGCATGATTTTAATGTCCTTTCTTTTCTTCTTTAAACTTCTACTCAAACCTTGTAATTCACCAATTGTTTATGTAAAATAGTCTCTGAATTTAGTGTTTTTGTTTGATGCAAGCATTCCTTGTGGGGAGATCGTGTCTGATTTGATGATTATATATAAATAAATGGCAGACAAAAATCTGTACTGTAGGTTAGTTTTATTTAAACTGACTCTTAAAGTACATGCCAAACTTTTCGACTTTTATTTTACCGTCACTTTTCGGCGACCTCCGGTGTTACCCTTTTTTCAGTGGATGACTAGAATAAATCGCCACAACATCCTCTTATAGTTTAACCTTGTGAAAACGATAACATATAGAAGTTTGACAAATTTTTTTTTTTTTTTTTGACAAATTAAACAATTTTATTGATTCTTACAATCAAATTTTACAAAGGAGAAAATATAAAAGAGTAAATGGGCATATAAAGTGTAGGGGAATATATATACAAATATCTTCAGCAAGGAGGGCTTCCCCACCTTGAGAGGGTCCTCCTCCAGACAAGGAGGGGGTCTTCTTGTACACTCCTCAGTTCCGCGCCGAGGAAGTGCCTATAGATGCGCGTCTTGGCAGACGCCAGGATGGCCAGGGCGTCATCGTCTAGGCCATGCCCGAAGACCCAGCCCTGCAAGTCAGGGGGCCGCCCGATGATGGTAAATGCCTCCCTGATGAGAGGCCTGATGTAGCGGCAGGACCAGTACCTGTGAACCAGCGACAGGTCGCCGGACCCACAGGCGATGCAAGACTGATGTGCCGATGCTGGATGGGCTGGATGGGGCAGGGCGTGCAAAGCTAGCCTTACTGCCACGTCCGCGTTGTGCCCGGAGAAGGCGCAGCGCCGGAGCGACGACCAGCCGATGTTGATGGGTAGGTTTATATTTTCCTCCCACCTTCTAGCGAACTGGATGATGGGCAGGGCAGTCAGGCGTGGACGCTCTAAGATGCGACGGGCAGTTCGGGTGATGACTCGCAAGAACGGCGTAGTCGTCCCGCGCAGCACTACGGCCTGGCCGATGGTGTTTACTCGGTAGGTCCCGCGTAGATTTTCGTCGATAAGACGACGGCAGAAGCTGGTCAGCGACGCGGCGTCAGCCAGGGCGCAGCGCGTAGGCCGAGTGAGGGGAGGGGCAGGGCCAGCGAAGTCCCTAATGCAGGCATTGACCCACCGGGTAGGAGCGAGAAGGTCGGGTGGCCGGAGAATTGGTGCTTCAATTTAATGATGGTACTGTGTGTGACATAGTGGTTTTAGGTGTTTCATAAAGCAGATAGTCTGTGAGGGGGAAGGAATGAGAGACACCATTGAACAAATCGTTGAGAAATATGTAAATATGTAACAAGATGTTGTGGAGAGCAAGTGTGGCGTGTTGTGGTTTGCCGAGCTGTGTGGGGTGAACCCAACATCCATCCCCTTGTGTTGTCTGTGGATATAAACGGATTGCCCAACATTTTCCCGTAGTTGGGATTGATTAACGTGGTCCTTGATCCAATTGTTGTCATTCCCTCGTTGTGCCATTGAAAACCATTTTTGTTTTGGTTTTGTTTTTTTTGGAAAACAGACTACTCTTTTTTGGTCAATAAAGTCATTTAGAAATCGTCAACTTAGCGCCATCTATTTCTTAATAAACACAGACTATATATGAAAATTAAGTCTATTACAATAGAGTAGAACTGTGTGGTGAATTAAACTGGCGAAACTGCTGGAAGGGTTCACCACCAATGAGCCATGCATATCTCTTTTATTTACTTTTTAATCATCTGAGTACAAAGTATGTAGAAAAGAAAGTGTTTGTTGAGGGATTCTATCTCAATAATTAGTGGTTAGGAAGGAGAGGAATGAATGCCTTGTTGACGTACTAGGACCTTACAACCGAGCTGACAATTGTAAGCTGAGGAGGATACACTCGCGTGACAGAGACTCTTAAAATAGAAGGTGAATTGCGTCTCCCATCGTAACATTCCCCTCCGTAAATATAACGCCTAATACATGGGTCTTTATTAGTTTTTCTAACCTACGACTCACTCTTTTACGTACTGGAAACATGTCCTTAACGATATTTTCGCGTACTTGGATTGTACTCTGTTATATGTTTACGTATACCTTTCAAACATATTCAACTACCTCTCACAAACACGCGTGCTGTTTAAGATGTTTGCCCCGGGTGGGAATTGTACGATCTAGACAATTGACAATTTAAACCATTTTATTGATCCTTCTAATCAATTTTTACAGTGAAAAAAATATATAATAAAATAGTAAATAAAGGGTAGATAAAATGTAGGGGATTATATATAGTTGTGTATGTGTACAAATTTCTTCAGCAAGGGAGGCTTCCCCACCTTGTACGATCTAGATGTAAGTTAGTCTGTGCTTTCCACGGCGTTATTTGATACTATTTTCGAATTAACTTCTTTGTAGTCAGCTTTTATATCTGACGGCTCTCTACTTTGTAGCGAGGCATTCTTGCTCGTTCACCGTTTCTTTGAAACAGTGAGTGGATTCCGTTATAAACAGGAAGTCCTTCACGAGGGGCGTGAAACTCGCGGCGGGGCTGGACTGCCCGTTCCAGGAACACCTTCGATCCGACCGATGAATTGTTTATCAAGATCGAAGCGACGCATGCGCGCAGGTATTTTTAATGATCGTATGACGTGGTCCATAGAATTCTAGAATACAATAGCCATCCCGTAGAAAACACCATTGTGGGGAATGGACACTCAGGTAGAGCTGGGATAGAAGTTTGAGTTATCCCCTTAGAATTATCCACACAAACGTGTGTTTGTTTCCATATCCCTGGTCTCGTGTAGCTTCAGTTGAAGATGGAATGTTATTCATCTTTATTTATTTTAATCCTATAGAACAGATTTCTATAATTCGTGAAATAGAATTGGGAAGGCTTGGCTCATCAGTGGTTAAAAACCTTTCCACCGATTTCTCTCATTTACTCCACCAGATCTAAGCTACATTGTATTGTTTATTCTGCTTATATTGTCTGTATTGGAAGGATTCTTCTTAGTAAGGGCGCTTAAAAAACGAAACTATAAACTAATGCATCTGTAATATTGTAGAAAATTTACAAATATTACTACTTCGATCATAGCACTTAAAGACAAGCCAACACGGCTACCTGTTTTGCCAGCATCAGTAAACATTGATGAGGATGGCATTATAAAGTAAATGAATGAAGACATCTCGAGCGGCACTGTTTATTTCCAAGAAACTATCGAAGACTTTGATTAGATTTTTCATGGCGAGAGGGGGAATCATTCATCATCATTATTGTCATTTCCTTTTCAGAGGGATGACTTTAGAAACAAATGGAAGTTCCTCAACTAAGAAACCCGACTTTACACATCCCTAAACTACCTGTCTTGGGTTTGTTGCTGAATTATCGTATCCCTTGAACAGAGGTAGCTCTAAACTTACCTCCCATCGCACACATTTTGTGCCTTTTACAAAACATTTTTTTATTATCCTCTTATATAGATCCGTCCCAGAGTTCAAAGAGGAAAAAACAATAATAATAAAAAAATAAGAGCATGAAATCAATATGTAAATAGGTCAGCTATATACAGTCTTGGTGGAGATACATAACCACTTCGTCATGTCTTTTAGGGCATCTTCATTTTCCTTTTTAAACAATATCAGTTTTTCTGTTGAACTCTAGTATAGTCTAGTATAACTTTGACTTGTCGCCTTGGTAAGAATGTAAATTTCCTCCCCATTTAGGTGTTTCTAAATGACAAGTTTGCGCGCCGCGCCAGTTAATAACTTCATATAAATTCCGCGGTTAATTTTTTTTCTTCTTTAAAAAGAGAATCAGTTCAATTATGAAGAGAAAAAAATGCTCAGAATGTCTTTTTGTTCCTCTATCTACGGCTCGACATATAACCGAGTGCTAGGTTACGTGGGGATTGTTCTACCAGAGGTGTTGGCCACTCGGAGAAAACAGATGTTGATTCCCACATGCATCTATTCTACTTTTGTGTTTTTATTCCCACCGTTTCAACCACTCCATACAGCTCGCCACTCACATACAAGAAATAGAAGATAGGTCCTAAGAAAATTCACCACTGATGAATCAAGCTCTCTCATCGAATTTTTCTACCATCACAGCAAGCCAGTCCCGCACGTTTTGACGACTTAAATGAAAATATTCTTCATAAATGTAATTAAAAAATGTATTATCCGAATGGAAGAATGTGAATTACAGTTATTTTTTTTTAAATGTTGATTTATGGTATTCAAAAATAACTTCTTTAGAGAGTATTTTATGGTTAGCTTCTACGGGAGGGACCAACCACAGGAGGACCTGTTGTGTCAGACAATGGCCGTCCATGCGGAACATCCTGCACTCTGTCTTCCGCCCCAACAGGAACGATTAAGGCGGGCCCAAGGAAAGAAAATATTGACTGAGGAAGATAATAATTAATACCATAATTTCCATCCTGGATTAAGAGCGGCTATCTAAGCGGGGCCAATTAGAGCCCTAATCCCGGAGTCCTCATTAGCTTTTGTTTAAATCCCTCCGGGAATTTGCAATCCTCCAGCTTGTTCGCAGGTCCTGGTTCTACATTCTACAGAGTGTCTACAAGGAATAGATGAGTCAGGTGATAAATGACATTCGTTTAAAAAGGAAAGATGCCTAAAAGACATGACGCAGTGGTTATGTATCTCCACACACACACTAAGACTCTATATAGCTGACGTATTTACATATTGATGTTCCTGCTCCTATTTGTTGCTTGTTTTTTCCTCTTTGAACTCTGGGACGGGTCAATATAAGGCGATTATAAAAAAAATGTTTTGTAAAAGGCCCAAAATGTGTGCGATGGAAGGTAAGTTTACATCAGTTCAAGGGAAGCGACAATTCAGCAACAAACCCAAGACAGGTAGTTTAGGGATATGTAAATTCGGGTTTCTTAGTTGTGGAACTTCCATTTGTTTCTAAAGCCATCCCTCTGAAAAGGAAATGACAATAATGATGATGAAAAAGGATTTTGTCTGGTTTTTAGTTAGAAGTCGATATCGCGCACTACCAACCCCCGCCTTTTGAACAATGTAGACAAAGTACGATTGACTCTTCGCCATCTTATACATAACCCTGAACTGATGAGGGATATAACCCGACACCATGTTGTTATAGCAATTCTTCATTCTACACAGGAACAATAGACAAAGTGTATTGTTTTGTTATATTTTTGATCGGGAGAAGCATCCTCTTTGCAATATCAATATCTTACTCCCGAAAAATTATAATATACACTCTGTATATCTTTTGAGGATATTAAAATCGACAAAAACATATATTTTTTTTTTTTATTCCATTGAGGTGCACTTTAGATGTATCGCTCTATAATAAGTATATATTGAATATTTATTTAGCGCTAAATGTTTGTGTCTAAATCTCCAAAAGCGTCCCATAAAAAAAAGGCAACACGCGCTATAGGTACGACATCTATCAAAATCCTACCAATGGGTATAATGCTGCATACCTGCTCGGTTTATCTTAGATAGTGGGCCACTCGGTGCCTTGTGAGTTGGTCGTCTTCATGGCCACGAGTCTCGCTAATCTAACAAATATACACCGACTTGGTCCAAAATGATCTCCAACGACCTTGTTTCTTCTAGCACCGTCGCCTCACTGAACTCTCAACTTTAATGCTTAATACGAACTCCGCCTTTGCCGGTCCCAAACCCGGATGAAAAAGGAGCAGGGGGAGCCGTAACAAGCTCGCTAAAAAACCTGGGCTCAGCTGGCCCGGCTGATAGTACCCTGTAAGGGCTCCTAATCCAGGGATACAGGATGAGCAGCGTTTGTACTCCATGTTAGGAGAGGCTGCACATGGCGTCTGTTCCTCATGTCAGAGGCGGCCATTTCGTTCGGAGCTAAGTCGGCCTGCCACTGAATAGTGCTCCCAGTCTTAATGACAAAGGCAGACGCATTCTACTTCACCCAGTGTGGAGATAAGAAAGAAAAAGAAGATGCTTAATACGGTTATTATCAGAACATAGCTGGTATATCGAGGGTTCCCTGTGTTGTGGTTTCTAAACCAACCTCGAGTCTTCAACCTGGACGACTCCATTGTTAGCGACCGCGCCTCCCTGACAAATTTATGGAAGCGCGCGATAAAGGTTTGCAACTTCACGAAAAAGGTCACGTGGTGGTATCTTCAGTTTCATCGCCGGAACGCCCATCTCGTTGTTTGCGCGCTGTAACAACCTACTCAAGTGTTATCTTTTAAACTGTTTTACAACAAATCCCCTCTTGTTTTAAACAATTTTTTTTAATCAACTTGGGATGGTCAACCAGAAAACTGCCCATTTCAATGTTTCGGGCCATTAACCCCGTGGGGAAGGAACTCTTGTCTAATCCCTCTTTAATTGAGCTATAAACACTCATCATTCTGGTAATTTCGAAACCTATTTATTCTCTTATAAACCTTCTAATTAACCTTCAGACCGATCTTACTTCTAACAACCTGTATCTTCTCCAAGTGTTGAGCCGTGGACGACCTCCCTACCATATCCGGCCTATGGCACTGGAAGAATTCACGGCTGGAAGTCAACCCGTGGTTTCTCCGGTGCTATTGACCGTGTGTGGCGCCCCGTGGTCGGCCACTCTCTCTCTATACTGACTTTCTTTCCACTAACTCAAGAACTTTCCACTCTGACACCTCCTACTAACTCAAGAACTTCTCACTGTGATACCTCCTAATAACTCAAAAACTTTCCACTGACACCTCTTACTGGCTCAAGAACTTTCCACTGCCACCTCTTACTGGCTCAAGAACTTTCCACTGACACCTCTTACTGGCTCAAGAACTTTCCACTGACACCTCTTACTAACTCAAGAACTTTCCACTGACACCTCTTACTGGCTCAAGAACTTTCCACTGACACCTCTTACTAACTCAAGAACTTTCCACTGACACCTCTTACTGGCTCAAGAACTTTCCACTGATACCTCTTACTGGCTCAAGAACTTTTCACTGACACCTCTTACTGGCTCAAGAACTTTCCACTGACACCTCTTACTGGCTCAAGAACTTTCCACTGATACCTCTTAATGGCTCAAGAACTTTCCGCTGACACCTCTTACTGGCTCAAGAACTTTCCACTGACACCTCTTAATGGCTCAAGAACTTTCCACTGACACCTCTTACTGGCTCAAGAACTTTCCACTGACACCTCTTACTGGCTCAAGAACTTTCCACTGACACCTCTTACTGGCTCAAGAACTTTCCGCTGGTACCATAAACAAACCTTCCACTGATGCCACTCCCTACCAACTTAGAGGCACTTTCACACATTTGAACTTCTACCCAGCCCTCCTCCTGGTATCGAGTCCCACTTTATAGCCACCAACATACTGACCAAACTTGCTGTGAACGAATGAAACCAACACTAGAGCTGGGTACGGCCTGTATGTAATTCGCGCCGATCCAATTGTAGATCTGGCCGCCGCGCCGGGTTATTAAAGTGCTGATAACCCGTTTTTTTCTTTACCCTTTAATCGGCGGGGATTGAATCGCCGGCCATCTGTCAGGTGATGTCATTCACGAGCCGTACACCTGAATACCGTACTCACACACCCACTTCTGGATATCATTTGGTAGACTCATTCGTGGAATGTCGCACTTTGACTTTTAGACCGTTTCAATTATACCAATGTATTCGGAACAAGGATTTTGTCTTTCACTCCGCGGGATCCAGTTCGTATAAAACAAGAGGTAGGTGTCAGTTCTATATGCAAGTTATTCTAACATTCAAGAAGGTTAACCATTGCTTTTCAACCATCCATCGGATTATTGGATGAAGATATTCCTGTTCTATTAGAGCTTCCTTTTTATGGATAGTCTTTTGATATAATATTATAGAGTCTTCTCCCGAAATTGTCCACGAATTCCATTCTCTGGACCTTCCCGGTCTTCCTTTCTTCCATACCTTCTCCCTCCAGTAAGACTACAGTTAACCACTCCGAATGTCTGACAAGATGTCCCAACATGCTCCATCTCTCAATCTAGAATGTCCTCTCCGAATATTTCTGGAACATCTTGGTTATTCAGTCCTTGAGATTCTTACCATTCGGTGCCACATCTCTTGTAGCTTTAAGAAAATAGGCGTAGATATTGAAGGCTCTCCTAGTATGAATAGGCATTGACCCCAAGTAAGATACCGACGTTACAACAGTAAAACTAGGACTCGACTCACCGATAGATGTAGTTGTTGTTCTTCTAACTGATGGCACGGTGCCAACCTTAAGTTGTGGGGCAATCCTTGCTTAGCCACAGCTCTATCGAATCCTGATGTAAGTTCATATTGATCAGTAGGTCGGGAAGAAACTATTTGAATCTTATGTTTCAGGTCTTGTGTCGTCTACTTGGTAATTTTCATATACGATCGAAAATGTTTTTTTTTTTTAATTAGAACCTGATAGAAACGCTTCATCCAAAAACAGTAAATCTATTGTATTTACTGTTACTTTGTAAGTATGAGAAAATATCTGGGTAAATTATCTTTCATTATCGAACAAAATAGGAGAATATAGCCTTCAATTTCTCTCATAGCTTTGTTGTAAGTAATTTAAATATGTTTCCTCTAAATTCTTTTCGACATAGCGCTCTTGGAAATAATTTAAAGATAAAAATATCGCTAAAATAATTTTTAGTTTTTCGAATAAGACATGGTGTCGGAGTTCATCCTACCTAAAGAAGAAAAAAAAAATCTTAACACTTTGATTAACGTTTCTATTTGAGTCTTTCTTATTTCTAAAATGTTTTCTAAGGGAAGTAAACCACACAATTTCAAGTTTGTACCGAGTCCTTCAGTTATTGGATTCTAGGCAGGATTAAGCAGAAGACAATCCCCACGCGTCGTCTGTAGCCTCTTCCTTCATTACAACATTTAAATATTTACTTGAATATTCGCGCTTACGTCACAGGACAGTAGGCCTGTATTTTTTATTTGAGGCAATTGGTTCTTCCTCTATTGGCGAATCACGATTGTAAGGAATTTATTTATTTTATTTAAAGTCAATTAGAAGATTTAAGAGATTTGTGTTTCACCGAAGTAACTACACAAATCTCATCTAGATGTACATGGTATATACAATTTGAAGTCAAAGTTAACATTAAGTAATAATATATATTAAGTATATATATAGTAAAAAGTAATATAACTTTTAAAAACACAATTTTATATTTAAAAAAAAGTTTATTTTCCTTCTTTAAAAATATTTACATAAAAGCAATTTACCAAAAGAAATTTAATCCAAAATTTAAACAATCAAAATTTACATATCTCTCGACAGAATGTGTTTACTCTAGTCTCTAGTCAAAACCCAATAAATAAATATATACACAATTTAATTATTTTTATTCGTCTGCGTAACTCTAAGTCCATTTACATCACACAATAATTTTGCCATTTACATTAAAGATATATACAATTAATATAACAATTATATCATTTTTATAAGTTTTATATTTATAATACATCTCTGTAGTAGTAGGTCATTTAAAGAGAAGTACAAAAATAGAGATAGTGTGGCAATCTTTAGAAAGATATTATTTGAAAACGGAATGCACAGACAAAAATCTACTTTCATGACCAGCTCGGAATCTCACCTCAATTCACTCGAAGTTTTAACGGCGAAAGAAAAAAGTATAACCATATATGCACCACATATGTACTATTGTATATAATAAGTACATAGGTATAAATGACCTAAGTGTGCCTAGAAGTGTTGGCAGTATGTGCCATAGGATTGTTGATAGCTGCCACCACACAAGACCATAACACACGCCGACCGGCCGACCTAACCCGTTGGTGACCTTTGGGAATCTCCCTCCCTCCCTCCGCTCTTCCTCCTTCCTTCTTCCTCTTTGCCGGCTTCCTGTTTCCACTGCCTCGTCTCCAAACACCCGTTGCCACTTCTCTCAACACCCGCTGCATCGTCTTCCAACACCCGCTGCATCCACTCCCAACACTCGTTACCAACGCTCCCAACTCCCGCTGTCTCGTCTCCCAACTCCCGCTGTCTCGACTCCCAACTCCCGCTACCAACGCTCCCAACTCCCGCTGGCTGCATCGTCTCCCAAAACCCGCTACCTCGTCTCCCAACACTCGTTACCAACGCTCCCAACTCCCGCTACCAACGTTCCCAACTCCCGCTGCATCCTCTCCCAACTCCCGCTACCAACGTTCCCAACTCCCGCTGCATCCTCTCCCAACTCCCGCTACCAACGTTCCCAACTCCCGCTGCATCCTCTCCCAACTCCCGCTACCAACGCTCCCAACTCCCGCTGAATCGTCTCCCAACTCCCGCTGTCTCGACTCCCAACTCCCGCTACCAACGCTCCCAACTCCTGCTACCTATTACTCCTCTTACGTTTCCCTTTTATTTCCACATGATTTAGGATATACAAGTATACTTGTATAGCACAGCGAGGAATGCCGGTCATCGTCTAGCCTGGCTGTATACACTGAGGAAATATTAGACGGAGGAGGAAGACTCGGACGTGACGAAATATATCATTCTTCAATGAGCATCACATCCAAGGGCTTCAAAGTTTGAAGTCTCTAGCGCACTTATGTAAAGGGGCACTAGTGGGCTGGAACTTGTCCTGGTTAGCAGTGGTTCAACAGAGAATATTGTAATATGAGGGAGTTGGGAGGGAGACGACATCTCAAGGACCTTTCTATTCACTGTTTTGTGTGTATTAGTAATTTTAAAACAAAAGGCGCCTTAAACATGGAATAATTAGAAAAAACGATATTTCTTGTGGCCAGATTCTGTGACACCCCGGGGGATAGAGAAGTGGTCCTATCAGCCATGACCACATAGAGACCTCAGGATAATCCATAAAAATAATTGAAAATCTTGTATTCAATGATTATTTTCATATATGGGCTGCTCTGTATATCTCACATTATATTTGTTTGTCTCGCGTGTTTAGAATCCATTTATGTAGTTGACCAGCAGAAACGAGAATCAAGGAACATATATTCAATATCAAAAATCAGAGATTCCTCATTTATCACCACGTATCAATTATTAGCCATAATCTCTCTCAATATGCCATTCTAAGTCAATGTCTATCAAATCAGTAAGATTGACTCCTTAATACAAAAAGACAAGAACAGTAGGAAGGGAAATTCCAGAAACACTTCACCATATAGGTTATCATGTACACATACAATGAGAGGAATCCTATATATCTCTCCCTCCCACCTCCACTCTTAATATCACCTTGTTTACCTGTTGAAGAGCGTCAGTTCGAAATCTCGCGGTTCGATTTAATAAAGGACACACAGCGAAAAGATTTATCTCCTATATAATATGCTCAAGCTGTACATACAATTATATGTACAGTCTAAGAGTCTTTACTAGACCACACAATAATTCTATTCCCCTCCCTTCCCGTTTCTCCACAAGAAGAATCAGTAATTATTTATTTAGTCATTAAAATATTTCTTTTACCGCAAGGATAAAGCTGAACGATTGATTAGCGACGCTGTGTACACTGGCTGATGATTTACTGTAGCTGTAAATATATGAATCTCAATAACTATATGGAGGTACCTCTCCCTTTAAAATACATTAGAACAATGAATTCTGTTATCATTCAGTACCCAACGTAATGGTAGTGATGAAGAAAGGGCATCAGTTTTGTCAAATTCATATAAATTTGTTTACCATGGTTTAGGGCAATGGCCCTCAACAGTATGTACCTATACTGATTTGTCGAGATTTCATAACCTCCAACTTTTGCAATATACGGGGGGAAGAGTCAATAAATTTCAGGAAAATGTAAAATAGTGCTTTTAAACATTTAGGGCTTATTTTTAAATATAGTCTTCATGGTTAAAAATACACTCTTTCCCAAATTTTTAATAAGAGTATTAAAACTTTCTAGAAAACATTTTGTCTTGATACGATCTTGCACCGATCCATGGCAACTTTTTAAAGTTCATTATTTATATTTAATTTTTGTCTTTCTCAGTAAGTCAGAGCTCTTGTGGCTCGAATATTTCATCTCAAAGTTATTTTAATATCATAGAATAATATTCACTGTTTATTAGTTTTTTTTCCTCCAAATATTCTATATAAATATTTCCAAGAAAAAGTTGCCCTAATTTTGCTCCTACCGAATGAGTCTTTGAATAATGAATAGGCGGTCCGTTTTTTAATGGCGCTGATACTTGACTTTCTAGAAATGCGTCTAAACTACGTTTAGTTTAACCCGAGAATTCTCTCCAAAGAGGATCGTATATCCGCCCTATAAAACGAAACTTAAAATATCCCGCTTCATTCTGATGCCATCTAAACGCATATATCGTATTTCAGATGACACGAGGTCTATTAGAAAAGTATCCGACCTTCGGGCAGGTAAAAAAAGCAGGCCTACCTAGAGCGCTGCAAACCTAACAACCCTCAAAGTTGTCTTCTTGGGACTCCATGCATTTCTCCCAGCACCATTGTTGGAAACATTTCGAGAAAGCATATTTCGGAATGGTATTTAGCTCAGCTGTCGTTGCAGTCATAATGTCCTCTCATGTCTGAAATCACTTTCCTCTCAATTGTCTCTTGAGTTTGGAGTACAGCAAGAAGTCGCGGGGAACCATATCAGGACAGTAAGGAGTCTGGCGAGCCACAGGAGTCTGGTTTTTCGCCAAAAAAAAAAAAAAAAATCTGAATCAAGTGAGAGAAATGTGCTGGGCAATGGTGTGATGGAGGCACCAATTTCCTGTTGACAACAACTTCGGTCTCTTGCGCCGCACAGCATCACGTAGGCGACGGAGTACATTCCTGTAGAACTCTTTGGTGATTGTTTGACCCTGTGGTGTCGTGGTGTACCACACAGCGGGAGTCAAAGAAAGAAGTCAGCATCACTTAGACGTTTCTGCGCACTTGGTGTACCTTCTTTGGTCTTGGTGACGTGGATTGCTTCCACTGTTACAATTGCAAGGACTTTTTATGCCTATATTGTCCCCAGCTTTGTATTTTGACTTAGAGCCAAATTTCTTTTCTGTGACAACTACCGGCTTATGGACTGAAAATCTGGAAGGCCATTTGCTTCTAGGATGTGACAAATGGTATTTGGTTTTAAGATCGCCCCCGTGCATCCAGGACTCGTCACCAGTGATTATGATGTTCATTTCTGGGCAAATTTGATGCAGTAGCGCTGCTCCAGTCGTTCCATCATATTCCTTACAATGAGAACCCGACGAGATCACTAAACACTACCTCACTCAAACGTTGCTTGTTATCAACTGACGCTTTTGACAGGAGAGAAAAAAATCAAGCGTGCGTTTGGAGGTTCAAGGTCGCCTCATGCAAGCGCGCTTCATTGAAATCCACCAGGTTTTACACACACAAAACAAGGTCGGATACTTTTCTAACAGACCTTCTACAGAGGTATTCTTCTTCTACTTATGTATAATGAAGGGGTACCTCCTGGTCTATAGATGGTAGTGAACCATCGGCAACATTCATTCTCACGATCCATGATGTGCCCTTCCATTATATATGTATATATAGAATAGCTATGTATTACCTTATATATTGATTCTTACAATGTATTATCCCCTATTTTATAATATCCTCTTATAATTGGGACACAATCATTTTCTTTTTATTCCCCAAATAGAACGAGAGAATGAAGGAATATAAGCCTTACATACATTGAAGATTGCCTGGAGAAAGATTTCTTTTTGTTCGTTTCAGGAACACAATCTCTCCTCTTTGAATGTGGTTGGAACACCACCTTTTTACATATTGTCAAAATTTACGTTTTGAATAAATCTCGCGGATAGCAAAAGCGCACATCTCTCTTCAAACGTTTTCAGGAAAACAACAAAATACCAAACAGAAATATGTGGAATATTCTCATCCTTTACTCATATATCCCACCAAACTTGGGAGAATAAGTGGAATACCAAAAGTCGCATGTGGAAAACATGTAGCCACGTCAGGAAGCTGTCGTTTCGTCATATTTGATTTACAGCTTGCAATTGCAGCTGACTGAACCAATATGTCGGCTTGTAGAAAAATCGTGTCTGGAGGTTTCAATGTACCTACCAATCGTGGCGACTCTGTCAAATACCGAGGGAAGGTTCTCCCAGCCGTTATCTGGCATGGGGGCGGTGAGATCAGGTTCTGGGGCAGATAGGATCTTGTACCGGCATCCTGGTCTCTCCACCTCAGTCTGCCACTGGCTCCTGCTCAACCTTGTTCCTCGGCCAGAAACCTTGATAACTGCAGCATTCCCTTGCTGCATCAATGTCTTTGAAAGATTATTCAAAACACCTACAATACACCTATCCCCCGATTTACACGGTAGATACGTTCCTGAATTCGGGAGATAGGTGTACACAGAAATAAAAATAAAATGCATTGACAGGTTAAAATATGTAGTCAGCACATAAGCTCGGGACTCCTCGTGAGATGTGTACACAGCGCATGTGTTCAAAAACAGTAGCATTTAGTATAGTGCGATAAAAAAAAAACTTATTTGGAAACCGTGTAAAAGCGAAAACGTGTAAAAAAAGTACCGTGTAAATCGGGGGATAGGTGTACTTCTATTGGTCAACATTCATTTTACTGGAGCTATTGCAATCCATAGATGTATCCTTTCAATACATGGGGGGATTTTATATATGGAATACCTTATTTGCACAGCGGTTATTTCGACAAGCAGTACATTGGTATGTCACCTAGTGTATGCAAAGTTATATGTACGTAGTAGCTAGGTGGAGAGAGAAAATGGAAATATTGGCTTGTATGGATGGATGATTGAATGCCAAATTATAAATGCAACTAATTTTCCAGAAGTAATGTTCCAAGTTACCAAAGAAAATAGATCCATACTTGACTCGAGCAGCTGCAACAAGCCCTACATGCGGACACAACTTGAGTTGTGTCTCATTCGGCAGAATCCATGCTAAAATCATCGAACGACTAAATAATACTATGCGATCTCGAATTCAAACTAGAGGATGTGATAGTGGGTTCACAAAATGTTGTTCCAAACCTACAATAGAATTTTCCATAGGAGTCCTATCTCGGACATAATCTCCCTCTCTCTGGATGAACATCAATCTGCTAGTTATGCAACTCTAGGATTTGTTACCCGGTCTCTCTTCCTTCTTTACATACGCGCCTTCTTTCCTCTACTTACATAAGTGACGTTACTGTGGCACATAGCGGAGTTCTACCCCATATTGGGATGATGCTCTAACTTGCCGTCCAGATGCACAAACAACTCATTGGGACAGTTCGCCAGCTGGTTTCACACAGGAAACCTTTGAACATATTTATCGAAACAACCCGAAAGCCCGTGTTCTTCCAAGGAAATATCTGCCCAATGGTGTTTGAACGCATCAACCTTCTCAGAAAGTAAGTGTTATAGCATAATGAAAACCGCAACGAAATTGCCCAATCCCGAGTTTTCGGCGGACAAAATAAAAATCAACTTCCAGTTATTTAGAGATGTATTAATGTTTTTCAGCATTTGATAAATGTTTTAAAACATCCCCTTCCCCCCCCGCTTTTTTTTTTTACTCATAAAATACAATCTTCCTGAAACACTTGTATGTATTCTGGCCATCTTCAACTTTCTAAACTCGGCGTAGTCTTCTAAAAAATCTCGATAAAATCATAACTCTATCGATTCTATTTTATCACTTTAATATATTTATTAGGTTTATAAATTCAATTGCCATCTACCGTTAAAATTTGTAGCGAGTATTTCTTTGGCAATGTGTTTCTTTTTACATATATAATCAAATTTTTATCTCTACAGACATTTTACTGCAATGGTAAAAACTATTTAAATTGGATGAGAGGGCTTGGCTCATCAGTTGTGAACCCTCTTAGCGGTTTCACCAAATTAAATCTCCAGACCGCTCTACTATTGTATAGGATTGGTGTTCCTATATACCCTGCATTTACTAAAGAAGACATCTTAGGGATGTTCAGGGAACCTATGGACATAAGCTTATATATCTTTAGAGCTGCATTCATCTAATTTTAAGAAATTGCATCGGGCAAAGCTTTTCCGAAAACATGGTTTCACATCAAAGCTATATTAACAATTTACATTTTTATATTATTTACATATATATTAGGTATTATTTTGTTTCAGGCGTTGTTTGGGAGGGAGA